AGACAGACAGACAGACAGACAGACAGACAGACAGACAGACAGACAGACAGACAGAGAAAGAGAGGGAGGAGGGAGAGAGAGAGAGAAGACTCAAAAAAGTGATCCTGTCGGTCTCAGCTTAATAATATGGGAGAGCTCACAGTTGACGCAATCCAGGCTGCTGTTCCTTAATTAATTCCAGTGGCGGCAGCGCTTGTATCGGGCCCACGCAGACATCTGACTGATGATTGGTTGGTAGACCTGCTGCTGGGCAATCGGCAGACGGCGAAGGAAGCGCGAAACGTTCTCCACTTCCAGCACATCCAGTTTTGTTCTTCTACTCCCCCTCCCCCCTCCCTTCCCTCCCCCCTCCCAGAAAAAAAAAGAATCAACGCATCTTAAATCATTCAGGAGGTGGTTCGACCCTGCCAGTCAGGTCCGATCTGGGTTTAGAAGGATTACAACATCCCTACAGAAAGATCGAGATACATAATAATGTACTCGATGATACAAATTAGCATCGTTCGGGAATCGAACTCAGGTCTCCTGGGAGTGAAGGCGAGGCGCCTAACCGCTACACCACAGTAATCCGTGTTTACGAACATATGGCTACATTTCGCATCGTAAGGGTAAAACACACACAATACACCAAAACTGAGGAGACGCCAAAACTCACCAGGGAGAAACATTCTCATTCAATCAACACAGACATCATCAGCCCATCCGACAGAGAACTGATCAATTAATATCAAAAGACTATTTTAAAACCCAGTTTCCGCAAGTTTGTGGGAACAGGATAGAGCAATGTCATTATATCATCTCCTGGGGGGGGGGGGGTGTCAATTGATTTAAGATTCAAGGATATAAAAACTTTAAAAAATTGAAATTCATATCAATCTTTCAGCAGGCCACAATTATATTCAACATTTAATTTGATGGCTTCGGAGAGAGGCTCGATTTATTTAAACAAACAAACAAACAAACACACCCCATTTTTTTAAAATCACCCTTTTCTGAGAATTAATTGTTCTATCGCTCACAAACAAAGGGAAATACCCCAAAGCAAACCATTCCTTTCTACATTGTGCTATCGCACACGCACACG